TCCTTTGAAGAAAACCAGTTGTGACGGGTAAAAAGGAAAATCAAGTCCAAATGGGATCATGTTTTATTCAGAATTTGTGCTCCTGGTGAAGGCCAGAACTCGGTGACAGAATGGCAAAGTGGCACTACCTAAATTCAAGCCTCACCCGCTCTGCCACGAGGGCACTACTCGCTTCACTGAGCTCAGCTCCTGGGACCTTTAATAGCCCTTGGAAGCAAACATAGTTAAAAATTAACAGACTGACAAAATTAAATATGGATGACAAGCAACCACTGTGGACTTGATCTGACAAAGAGTGTTACATGCTTGGGTGCCTTTAGTCTCTGTGACATCCTGAGTGAACTTCTGGATGTCTGAGTGGATTCCACTTGCCTGCTTAGAAGCAAGAGCAAGGCTAATGCATAGGTCAGACAGGGAAAGAATCTAAAAGCCCTGGAGAGAAAATTAGGAAGGCTTAGGTGGAATTCATCCAGGCCTGTGTGGGCGCAGACCTCCGCAATACCCCACCAGCTGGACTCGGAGACCTGCAAGAGCTCAGGCCTCACTGCATGTGGCCTTCCCCAGCAAGCCTGCTTCGTTCCCTTTCCTCCTGTTGCCAAAGCTCAGACAGCAAATTTGACTAACCTTTGTACCAGTTCGTATAAATCCTGACTTTTTACCCAGGTGGTGGCAACTTGTTTAATTTCTGGTTGCATTTTGTCCCTTCCATGTCTTCTAGGAAAGGATACGGACTAGCAGTTTGAGAGTGATCTCAGGAAGCTTCACTTTATGAGGCAGAGAGATTACACTAAAAATGTTTTAGTAAATGCTCCTTCAAGAACATGGAGTGTGTCTATGATTAATTAGGCCCATCAGGAGGATCAGGTTTTTTGGTACTGTGAATCATGACTGTAGCATGGCTTTTTCTGTCAGTTTGGACTTTGTGGGCTGCTGGCTTTCTATGCCACCTCGCAGCTTGTGTAAAATTTGCCACCAGAGTGGACATGCTTTATCTGGTGCTGCCACTCAAGAGCAGATCCCTGGTTCTGAAGAGGATGGGGCCGGCCACATGTCTATAAGCTAGAAGAGAGGTGCAGTTGCCTACAACTGGCTCTGAATGTAGAGAAATCTGGTTCGGTCATAGCATTTGTAACTGAAGCTAAGAACATCTTTACGGAGCAGACATCCAGGGCACCGCTGGCCTGATGATCTTCACCTTTAGTGAAACTTGGGTGCCATGTTGGCTGGTCTCAGCTTGTCTGATCCAGTAAATACAACCTGTGGAAGGAGACTTCTAGACTAGCATTTCTCAGCACCTGCAGGAACTAATAGCCATTACATAATGTAAAGGATACTGCGGTCAGATAAACTTGGGGAAATCCCAGGGTTGGTAAGATGAATCAAGTGTGTTTATGTGGCACTTCTTAGAACCTTGAATGTGCTCATGTGCATGTGCTAATCTGAAGGACACACTCTTGTAAGCCTCTCTTAACCACAGGGCATCTGTAGATAAGCCACCTTCTGGCCAGAAGCTGTCAGCCTGGCCTGGAGGGCTTGTCAGGTGCAGGTGTGGACCTAGGTGGCTAGGCTTGGTTCTGTATTTCCAAAGTGGAAAATAGCTGAAACATTGGATATTTACTAATAAAGGTGACTGGAAATTGAACTGGGTAACTGGTTTACTGATGACTCTCTTGAGTGTGATGGGAGTCAGTCTAGGCAGAGGTGACGACGGTACAAGGCAAATTGTTGCTGCTAGTGCTATACAAAGCACTGTAGAAAAACCAGGCAGAGGTCTTCCTGGTAACATGAGGTGCCTGACTTCTGCATGTATTTGAATCCTTGTACTATAAATGGAAGAGGGTGAGAACTGTTCTTACGGATACATGCCTATGGCATTGCACTTTATATATTTTTCTGGGTATCTGGCGTACTCCTACTCCAGTGCAACCCATCACTATGATTGCAAAGGACCTGGGACCATGCTTTGGTGTTGGAGACAGGGTCCTGAATTTTAGAACATTCCTGAAATGCAGCAACAGAATCCCAGGTGGCGTTGCCCCTGGAAAGTGCATGTCATGGTAGTGACTGCTGTCCTTGCTGAGTGCCAGTGGGGTGTCCATGTCACAATCTGTGTGATGTATTGTGGTTAGAGGTCCTGTGCATAAGGGAAATAGCAGTGTTATTTTGGACTTTATATAATGTTGCAGGAACTTCAGGGCCCCTGGAATTGTAGTCAGGGTTGTGGGTATGTCTGTTTTTCACAGACAGTATGGTTGCCTTGCATGGTAGGTGAAATGGATAGATTTTAATCCCTTAAAAAGTGTCTGTGGAGAGGAGTCGAGGGAACCTTGGGCTTCCATGTTATGACACACTATAGGAACCCCTAGGAAATGGGCAGGAGTGACCACCAGTGACCTGGGGGCAAAACCCATACAGAACAGGGGGCCTGAGTGGTAGTACAGATGATCGCCCTTTTCCCCCAAGAGGACAGCAGCCGATAGCACAAAACAGCTTGTTCCCCTGAACCTGTTCTCTGTCCTCTGGTGGGAAGC